TTTTTTTTTTTTTTTTTTTTTTTTTTTTTTTTTTTTTTTTAGGGGGGAATCCTTTCTAATACTTCTGCAAAGTTAGATTCCACTCCAGGAAACCTTTGACAATTTTCAACTGATCAACTGATCATCAGATTTTCAAAATTGTTATCGATCCTCTGCTATCTACTCAAAATGAACATACTGTATTGACTCATGGTTCTAGGAACACTGAAAGTGGTGATGCGTGGTTTTTTGTCTCTGTAAAGAACCTCCTCTTGTGACCATGCTGACTCATGAGAAACATGTCCTCCCTTATCTTAGAAGGTCTTCATAGCACAGGAGGGTCTCATGAGATTTTTTGTCTCACTTGTGAGAGGACTTACAGAAAATTCAGGCCTTGGCAACTTGCATGCACAGCAGATCCCTGCCCCTGCGAGACATCAAAGGATATGATTTCTTCAGATTTCTCTTCCTATGAAAATGCTTCACTACTTTTCGTTGCTTGTAAAAAGCACATTTTTCCTCCTCCTTCTGCTGCACAGTTCTGCTTTCCTCCAGGAGGAAGAATGTTTCTAGGTGTGTTAACAGAGTTTTCATCTAAAGATCTCAAATCCTGGTCCACTTCCAGGAGGACTGTACGTAAACAAAGCCTTAGATTGGTGAGGAAAACAAAGAAAGCAGAGTCTGAATATTGCTGTTTGCAACAGGAAAGAAGTTTTTACGCCCTGGGGTACAAGACAGAATCAATTCATTGCATATTCTTTATCAAAAGACATCAACATCTCAGAGACATTCTGTTTTCCACGGGATGACATAGCAGACAGGTTGGTGATGTGCTCCTCTCTGTCTCCGTCTCTGACTGGTCATCTGCTGGCGTAAACTCTCATAGAGTTGGTGTATCTGGCCTTATTTTCCTTGGGCTCAATGTGATCTGAACAGATCTGCTCAAATGGGGCATAGCTTAGTTACAGCCGTGCACTGCAAGCCTGACAAACTGAGCAAATGCTTGTGTATTTATGAGTGCATGTGAGGCAGGCATGAAAAGCATTACACCAGAATGTTCTGCTATCTGCTAGCCCATGCTTTGGCATTGTGGAATTGCTGTCCTCTCTCAGATGTGGCACAGACTCAGTGGGGTCTGCAAACATTGGAAGAAGGGGTTGGAGAGCTCTCACGCCCTTTTTCCATTACCAGATGAAGGCTGCCCTTCATGAAATAGTCGCAGACTGGCAAATAAAGAGTTCTCTTTATTCACTCCTGCACAGTTACTCTTGAATTTCACTTCTGTGCTGAGTGGAACAGCCACCACACACCACACAGTGGGTGTGGGCACAGTGAGGTGATGCATTTCAGCAGTAGTGACAGCAAAAGTGGGACATCTCTACTGGTGAGGTATTTATATGCACAGCATGTAGGCTCCTGCTCATCGATGGTGAAATTGCACAGCTAATGGTGGTGACTGTGTTGAAAAATAATGTTTTATAGCTGAGAATGCTCTCTGTCAAACACTCTTGTTGTGCTCTACTTAGCTGTTCTAGTTTCCATGGAAATAAATAGGAGGCATTACTTTCAGTACGACCTATGTAGCTTTGGTTGCCTTGCAGTTTCTCCCGAGATCTGTCAGGGATATGGTGAATAGCAAACTTGATTCAGAAATAACAATCTGCAGGTGCATCCTTCTGTAGTGGAGAAGGTGTGAGAAACACGCTCAAGATCAAAAATTTCTAATCACAGATCAGGCAAAGATCTCTGTGAAGAGCAGTTTATTCATTATTGCAATAATGGGCGCGCAACCCATTACTGATAAGGGAGAAACTGTATAACCAGTCAGTGAAATCCATTCTGTTATGTAGCCTGGGTCTGACACAGGTAAAGCCTCTCCTGGAACTCATTGGTTGAGTGTCTCAGGTTCACAATCTTCTGACGCTGTTGCTACATTACACTTCCATAGCTACATTACACTTCCATAGCCATGTTATGCTTCCATACAATGTCTGCTACCAACCCGTTGTCTTTGGGTACATTCTGTACTTCTTATAATGATAAGAGGACAATATTTTCAACAACCTGCACACCAGTTCTGTTCTGTGCTTGCCCTACTGCACACAATTGCCTTACCTAGTGCCTGTGCCAATTTTACCTAGGTCAGAACGCCCCAGTCTCAACTTTACTCTGTTCAGCAACTTTCTTTTATGAAAGGCAGCTTATCCTATGCTACATACAGAAATACTGGAAATTTCCACTGCAAAAACACAATCCACCTCTGACAGAGGTGAAACTTGTCTCCTGAACGTGCCTCCCCATTTCCTGAGCAGTATAACAAAGCAAACTTTGCTATGTCTTAAAATCATTTTCCATTTTCCTTCCTTTGTACTTACTAATTGACTGACGCGCTCTGCTCTTCCCCACCTTACTGAAGCTCTTTTCATAAAACATCTCTCCAGTGCTGTGTGTGAATTGATCTTGTTTGAGGTGAGTGGGACTATTGCCTGCAGGTTTCTCATGGCCAAGATTTTTCAGCTTGGAGACTGGTATGTGCAAAGTTATTAACAGAATTTAAGAACTCACTCTGTTCAAAATATACTGGATTGATTATAAAATTCTTTCTGGATTGCACTGCAACCTGGTAAATACAGAAAACACAAAATACTTCTCTTTGTTTTGGCAGTTGCCGTGCCCCTATAAATATCACTGATGTTCAGCAGTGTATTGTGATATCCTGTGAATGTTTGTTGCTTGGCTAAGCTTCACTAATAGACTCTCCTACCGTAACAGGCATGCTATTTAATCACTGGAAGACTTCACATTTATGTACATAGCTAGGGGAAAAAGGAAGGCAAACAACATTCAGAAAAGGGCTTGCACATAAGTTCCTGTGTTTCCCAAGTTAGGATTTGTATCTTATCTTTACTTGCTGATGAAATGGATCAGACAGTAGGCACCATTCTTTAAACTGGTTCACCTTTCAACAACTACTTCCTGCAATTTCACAGCTTTTCCTCTGTCCTGCCTGTGGCTTTTAACACATTCAAGCTTTTTTTTTTTTTGTGTGTGTGTGTGTGTATGTATTTAGTTAGCAACTTCCTAATACAAACAAGCTGCTTATGTTGGTCCCTCTTGTGAAGCACTGCGGGAGACATGGCTTCACTCAGCTTCTATTCAACTGAAGCTTTTCTATGACACTTTTCTCTCTGAACTGTGAATGCCCCTTACTGAGCTGGGGATCCAGTGCTGGTTTGCTTTCATACCTTTTTAGAGTAAGATTTGAAAAATAAAATTACTGAAAGAAATCATTGCTCTTCAGGTAGGGCCTAGAAGTATTACACACGTGCCTTCTGGGTGATGATAACTGTGCGAAAGGTGATGCATGAGCTGTGCAGATCATCCCTGACCCTGACGTTCCTTAAGGATCTCACACGGTTTTGTTATTTTAAAGGTGCCATAGTGGAAAAGGACACACATTAATGCAAACAAACAAACAAAAATGTCTCCACCTTGCACCATGATTCACATTTCTTTTTGTGCTGAATCTGTCCAAAGGGCTTAATATTTTTTTTTTCTTCTGTTTTTAACCTTTAGTATAGCAAAAACTTCCAAAACAGACTGGGGGCAAAAGTGGAGGTGTAACAGAAGGTGAATAAATGAACAGAAGAAAGAAGAAACCTAAGCAATTTGTTTTTTCTTCTCTCTGTGCTCCTTTTTTTTCCTCCTCTGCAACAGAGCTTCAGGGGAACATACAGTGCTCCTCAGTAGGGATAAAAGAATGTAGTGCTATAATGCTTCAACAGGAAAAATTTGTTTTCAGACACATGGATAGTCTGATGACTGTTCTGTACCCTTTAGAGTTTAAACTGCTATTACTGCATAAATAAATGGAACAGTTCAGCGGGTTGCAATGGCCTTTTTTGACCACTATTTGAAACGCTGTGACACAGCCTATAGAAATGATCCTGAAATCTCTTGGAAAACCAAGCAGTGGACTTTGGAAGATAGATTTTTCCAGTGGCTTGTTCTCTAGAAAATAAGACACATCACTTACCCTTACCTGGCTTTATCACAGTGAAATACCTAAGGCTGGAAGGCTACCTTCCTGCAGCTGTTTATGTTCTGTGTATTGGATAGTCACTGGATCCATCATGTAACCATTCTTGAATTGTGCTCAAGTTTATCAGTTTCTCTGAAAAGATACACACAGTACTGACCATCAGCCCTCCGAATGACTGGAACCTCAAATACTTGCAGTAACTAGCATTCAGGACTAGCATGCATGACACAGTGCACATCACATTGTCCAAGATGGTTTTGCTGATGATACATCTCAATACAGCACACTGAGTTGCATGGATACAGATGGAAGGCTGCTGGTGGAACCAGGCTCCTTGAGATCTTGAGCTGGTACTACCTCTGTGGAACTGTGCTAGGTGGTATAGACGTAGAGACAAAGCAGCTCTGGCCCTGTGATTAATGGGTAAATAGTGCTCTTAACAAGGCTATACTGAATATGTCAGAAACCATGCAGATTCAATGTCTCCTCCTTCTACCTTCTAGAAACCAAAGCTTTGAGTATTTTAAGCCTGTCATTCATTTAATGAGCACTATGTTC